GACCTCTGTCCAGCTGCGTGGAGATCCCGGGGAGTCCACTCTTCTGTTGGTTCTCATTTTCTCCAGGAAGCTGTTTGTTGGGGGGGTAACATCATCCCTGGTCATTTCTCGGCTTCTGAGCAGTTCTTGCTTTGTAATAGCTCACACACTGCTGGGTGCAGTTGTGCCTGCCTATAATCCCAGCACTTGGGAGACTGAGCGTGAGGATTGCCACAGGTTCACCAGCCTGGGCTACGTAGTGAGTCCGAGGTCAGCCTCAGCTATGTGGTGAGACCTTGTGTCAAAACAAACAAACAACAACAACAAAAACCCCCAAAACCCAAAACAAAACAAAATATCCCACGCGCTGGAAACAGGAGAGTGAGGCTGGAGGTGGGGAAAAGAAAGCCCAAAGGCTACGTTAATCCAGCCTCTGCTGCAGCCTTCCTCAGACAGGCCGAGGGGGTGGCAGACCACGATGGAAAAAGTCAAACTGATTTTACTTCTTCGGAATGTTCAAAAGCCACAGATACTCCAAAGCTGCAAGTGCAGGAGGAAAATCCTGTGCTTCCCCAAGAGATCGAGCTAGCTGAGGCCCCGCGGGAATTCTGCCAGCCGGAGAGGGTGTCTGGTTTTTTGGAGCACAGTTGAGTGATTCAGAGGGAGGCGGGCTGGGCGAGCTCCGGGAGCAGAGCGTGCCTGAGGCCTGCGTTAGTCGGCTGCTGCAGCGGCGAAAGACAGAACAGTCTGTTTCCTCCTTAGAGTACAGATGAGTGGGTGAAGTGGCTGGCGTTTTCTGCGCTCCTGCCAGCTGGAAGCTTAGCCACAGATGTGGCCTGTTTATCTGTGGGGTTGATGTGTTGGTTTTCTTTCTTCCCTGGGACGGAGTGAGGGGGAGGTAGTGGGATGAGTGGAGAAGGGGGATAAAAAGGAAAATTTCGTTTGGTTAGTAAGAAAGGAAAACCAGCAGGGGGAGAACTAACTTCCTTTAACTGCTGAGAATGTTGAAGTCATTTCTCAAAATTACTCCTTGCTCCTAAATTCTACTTGGTGCCTCTCTCCAGAGGGTCTTAGTGCCCCCGGGTAGAACGTGTTTCATCAGTAGGGGTCATTGGCGTTTACATAATTTATGAAAGGGGCAGGGCCGGTTGTGGAGACGACTGTACATAAACATTTCACTGGACACTGTAAGTACAAAATGCTGTGGAAACCCAGAGGGAAGGGAAAACTCTGAGGTGGGCGTTACTGGAAAGGAAGTCGTTGTGGAAGAACAGACGAACGGAGCGATCTTGTGAAGGTGAAGTTGTACATTCCTCGGTGGAGGAGGAAGCAGAGGTCTTTCTGGGAGCGAGCCCACTCCGCCGAGCGCTGGTGCGCAGGGGCACGGGGCCATCGCTTGGCTGGGGACCTGCGGTCGCGTCAGCCGGACAGGATGAGGAGCCGTGCAGCGCCTCTCTATTGCTTTTTCCCTCCTTTGACTGTATCAGAGGCGCAGGAGGGAAAGGAAGATCCATTAAATGTTGGCTTTGCACTTAGTTTGCTGTGTTTCTTTAACTTCATAAATATGTATTTAAGCAGTTTATTAAAATGTAACTTATATACCACATGGTTTCCCCGTTTAAAGTGTACGGTGGTTTTCAGCCTGTTCAGAGGGTTATATAACCACAGCCAGAGTCTAATTTTAGGACGTTCTCATCACACAGGGAAGAAGCCCTCTGCCAATGTGTGGTCACCCCTCGCCTCCCACTGTGCCCACCCCCAGGCAGCTACTAGCGCGCTTTCTGCCTCTGTGATACGGTAGATTTTTCTGTTGTGGCCGTTTCGTGTCAGTAGAGCCGTACAGTATGTGGTCCTTTGTGGCTTGGCTTCTCCACTTAACGTACTGTTTCAGAGTTCATCCCTGTTGTAGCGTGTATCAGTATTTTGTTTTTATGGCCGAATAATACTCCACCAAATATTGTATTTATCCATTCATTAGATGAGAGCCACTTGCATTGTTTCTACTTCTTTATTAGTACAAGTAATGCTGTCATAAACATTTGTGTACAAGATTTTGTGTGAATATATTGTGATTTCTCTTGGATATGTACATGAGTAAAATGATATCATACGGTAACTCTTTAGTTAACATTTTGACAAAACCAGATTGTTTTCCATAATAGCGTACCATTTTACCTTTTTACCAGTGTATACAAGGGTTCTAATTTCTCTGTCCCCTCACCTACACTTCTTTTATTGTCTGCTTTTTTAGTATAGGCATTCTTTAAGGTTTGAAGTATTAGCTTATAGTAATTTTGATTTTCATTTCTCTAATATTGAACGTCTTTTCATGTGTTTACTGGTTATTTGTATTTTCTTGTTTGAGGAAATATGTGCTGGTTTTTAAAAATTGTTATTAAATTGGAGAAGTTCTTAACATATTCGGGACAGCAGATCTTATCAGATACGTGATTTACAGATATTTTCTTCCATTATATAGATTGTCTTCCTCTTTCTTGGTAGTGTTTTATGATGCACAAAACACTTTAAATTCAGTGAAGTCCAGTTTATTTCTTTTTTTATTGCTATGCTTTTGATGTTATATTTAAGAAACTTAAGCTATTGCCTAGCTAAAAATCATGAAGATTAACCCCTATGTTCTTCTATGAATTTTAGCTCCAATACATAGGTCTTTGATTCTTTGTGTTTGTTTTTGTTTTGGTTTGGTTTGGTTTGGTGGTTTTTTGAGACAGGGTCTCACTGTGTAGTTCAAGCTGGGCTTGAATTCACTGTGTAGCCAGCCCACGCTGGCCTTGAACTCACAATGATCTTCCTGCCTCAGCCTTCTGAATGCTGGTGTATACCATTATGCAAGAGGATATCTTTGTGTGTTTGTGTGTGTATTACTGGGATTGAGCCCAGCACTTGCACATGCTAAGCAAGCATTCTATCACTGAGCTACTTCCTCAGCCTTTATTTTTTTTAAATTTTTAAATTTTGAGACAGAGTCTTGCTAAACTGCCCAGGCTGGGATTGAATCTGCTGCTGCAGTTGCCACCCTGACTCCTCCCGCAACTGCTTCTCCCTGTCTCCCCCTTCCAACTTTTGTTAGTACGTCCTTGTAGTGTATAACGATTATGTTTGTTGTAGGGAATTGGTACACGTATATAACACATTTCAGTTCTTTTCACTACCCCCTTCCCTGCACCCTCCTTTTATTTTGCCAGCATCAGATTTATCTTACAAGACCTTATAAAGTTAATGATCATATATACAGATTAAGAGCCAGACTAACAGGCTATAAAACATAAAACTTGTAAGATAATTATACCAAGTCAAGGTATACTTTTAGATACATTGTCGGTGCCGGATTACAGTGACTTTTTTTCCCCTCTTTTTTCTTATATCTGTCTTTTATTTCATACTTCATGTATTGTGTTCTTCATATAAAAGAAACCACGAGGTACCTGAGTTTTTGGGTCTGGTTTACTTAGCATTGTGGTCTCAAGATGCATCTATTTTTCTACAGCTGACTCGAGCTTACCCTCCTTTAAGGGAGAGTAGTGCTCCGTTGTGTGTGAATACCACATTTTCTTATCCATTCATCTGTTGATGGACATAGACTGCTTCCATGATTTGGCTATTATAAATTGTGCCGCTGTAAACATGGGTCTGCTTGTGTCACTGTGGTTTGATGTCTCTGACTCTTCTGGGAGGAGCTTGTGATCCTTTTCCTTGTGTATGATGATGAGGAAGGAGTCAAAACTTCATTCTTGGATGTGTAAGTGTCCAAGTTGTTTCCATATCAGTTGTTGAAGAGTTGGATGATCAAGTTGCCCTTTAAATGTATGTATGTTTATTTCTTGACCCTCAGCTCTGTTCCAGTGGTCTGATATCATGTCTAGGACCAGCATTTCTAATGCTTCTTAGGTGATTCTACCTGCATTTGAAGTTGAGAACTATCTGGCTGGGGTAGGGAATTTGGCTAGTTCGACCGGAAGGCAGCGTTGTAACCCAAGGTTTCTGTAATACTTTATTACAGATATTTAGGTCACTGATCTTCACTAAAGCAGAGTTTCCCAAATTTCCCTGCTAGGAATTGTTAGGATGCTTGCTAACAACAGCTTCCTCACCCCAGGGAGCTGGGGAGCTCGGAGCCTGGGAGAGCAGTGGGAGGGGTGCCACGCGCCCTGTGGTTCCGGCTCTTACACATGGGTAGACTTTCCATACTGGTTGCCAGTTAATCAGAACCTTCAGGAACTTGTGCATTTAGTGACCTCTCCAGGTGAGTCTTACGGTCATACTGGTCATAGTGCGTTTGGGTCTGCTAGGGCCGCCCATTAAAAGCCAGGGCTGCGCCATGGCTGGCCACCTTATTTTATATTGCCTACTGCAGATATGCACAGGTACTGTTACACCCTCCTCTTCCCCATCTCTGTGGTTTAGTGTATTTAAATTTCTATAGTACCCTGCAAGAACGTGAACTTATCTTTCCTACACCACTTGTGCGAAACCCTCATGAGGGAAAGGTTTTCTCTTCATCGTTTCAGCTGCCGCAGCACTTCAGCACTAGGACAGTGCCTGCCTGTGGTAGGTGCGCAGTACATACGTGGTGAGTAAACTGAAGGGAATTGTTGAGGAGCGAAGGGAGCACTGAAAATAGTCATTCTTCCTGTTTTTTTCCTTCATGCTGCTGTGAATCATGGAAGTACACGCTTCATTCTTTGTGTGGATGACTCAGAGTTCTCACCATATTTATCGTCCATTCTAACAAGCGGCTTAATTCTAAGTGGCGTAAGTGTCATTTGTTGTAGGTAGTCTTTTTCAGTCGAATTTATCTTGCTGAATTGTGTGCCCCTTTGCAAGCTTTCCAGATCCTCTTTGGAAACGGCCGGCTGGAAATAAGTACTGTTTAATCAAGTTTGATTACAAGTTAACTTTGATTGCAAGTTAATTTCAGTTCTTCTTACAAAAGCCTGAATTCTAGGTAGCAGAGCAGGAGGAGTTTATTTTTTTCATGCATTCTTTTTTCTATTTTTTAGGATAGAATTTTTACGGCATTTGAAGAGCTTTTTCCAGATTATGTTTAAAATTGAAACCAAGCCGTGTGGTGAAGAACTGAAGGGTGGGGATAAAGTCCTGATGACCTGTGTTGGTGTTGGCTTCTCCAACCTTAGCAAGACCCTCAAGTGAAACTGTCACGAGAGAAGTCCCTGTTGTCTACCTACAAAACGGAAGCTGCCAGAGGGACCAAGTGCAGACGTATTCATCCAGGACAGGATAATCTGTATATTAAGGACTTTCTTAATTTTCCATTAAATATACCAGTATGCAAATGAAAACCATCTGTCCCTCCTGTGGTTTCTAGCCATTCTTTCATGGCAGTGACGTTCCTCAGGGGCCCAGGCCCTGCGGAGCTTCCCTGGCTGACCTGGAAGAAGAGTTCCTCCAGGACGTGGTCACGCAGCGTTTCTGTGTGTCTTCGATCCACACCACACGCTCCGGTCCTGTGGTCTTCTTCCAGCCCTGTGGAATCTGTTGCTGTTGTTTCTGCAAGGACTCACCTCAGCGTCTGTTGCGGGGCTTCACTATAACTGTGTGTGTGGAAGCTCTTCAGTACGCATCGTGCGGTGGTATGTGTGTTAGCCTGTCTTACCTCCTGTCGCGGATTGCTGTCATGGACACATATGGTTCCTCATTGGTTCATTGTGTATGGCAGAGATGGGTTCCTGGAAGAGGAGGGCAGTTACTGGATGTTTCTAGATGTTTTCGGTCGCAGATGTGCCATGTATTTTCTTACTTTATTCCTACAATATCCCTATGTTGTACATTGTAGTGTCTCCATGAGAAAGCTCAAAAAGCTTATTTTATTCCTTTGGTGGTTTTTTTTGGGGGGGGTGTCTTTTCTGAGACAGGGTCTCACTATACAGTTCAGGCTGAGCTTGAGCTCACTTTGTAACTCAGGCTGGCCTCAAATTTGCAAGGATCCTTCTGCCTCAGCCTCCCGAGTGCTGGGATTACAGGCGTGTGCCACCATGCCTGACTCCTCCTTTGGTATTTATAATGTAAAGACATTAGCTCTCCTAAAAGTGTTAAGAGTCACGGTCTGGGATTTTTACTCACTTATAAGCAAGTATGTTAAATGATTGTTGTTTCATGGGTGTTAGCAGAAGACATAAAAGTCCTCGTCAGAGACAGAGAACTTTATTTATTCCTTACAGCATAGCAAGCAGCATGGAGTTTCATGTTTGTATTGGTCCCTGTCCCCAGTCCCACATTGGGCAGGAAGGGGCCTGCGTAGGTGTCATGCCTGCAGTGCTTTTGCCTCACAGCCAAGAAACACACATGCTTGGGAGTGCCACCTCCTTTTCAGCAAGCCTGTTCTTTCTTCAACATAGACATATTATGCCATCCCTTGAGATGGTTGCTGCAAACCCAGTTCTGAGAGGAACTTAACATGTTCATGACGGGGCCATAACGTGTACGCCTTACTGCTAGGCAGCTCTGATTTGAACGTGTTATGTTCCTGCAGACTTAAATCAGCAGTGGTACGTGTATGACCGGCCTACTGGGTAGCATGGGACTACCAGTCATAGCAGCGGCATGGGACAGTTGGTTTATACCAGTGGGAGTGTGGTAAGTAAAGGCCTTTCTAGTAAGAGTATACAAGAAGGCTTAGAACCAAGTGGCCTTTCCAGCTAGTTCTGTGTTTACTGTATATATGGGGTTGTAGTCTGTAAGAGGAAAGAGCTAATGTTACTCGCCCCCTGGGGTCGGTTTTTAAAGTAATGAGGTCTTTGCCTCACCGCTTTTTTTTGGTATTCCTCCTACCATTTTTTCCTGCGAGAGGGGCCAGAGCAAAGCTCATTCTGGTGACTCCAGAGGTGTGGGAGGATGTGAGGGAGAGTGCTAATCTGGAAGGCCAGGCTCTTGTGAACCGAGGCGCTCCACTGGAAGCTTTATATATATAGTGTTGGTGTTCTGTTGGTACATAACAAATTATCACAGATTTGACAGCTTACAACAGTATCCACTTCCCAGTTCACAATCCTGTAGCTCTGAAGACCATGTGGGCTTGGTAGGATTCTCTGCGCAGGTCTAACTGGGCTAATGGCAAGGTGTTAGCTGGGCTAGGCTTTCATTTGAGGGCTCTGGGCAGGAAGGTGCTTCCACCTTGTGCAGGTTATCGGCAGTATGGGGGATATGGGAGTGAAATCACAATTTCCTTGCTCGCTGCTAGCTGTGGACAGCTCTGTGTGTAGACACTGCCCACATTTCTATTCACGTGCCTTCCTCCATCCTCTAGCCAGCAGTGGTGCTTTGAATCTTGTGCTTTGACTCTGACTTCCTCTTCTGATGCTAACTCCAGAAAATACTGCTTTCAAATGACTCTTAGGCTGGGGATGGTGGTGCACACCGGTAATCCCATCACTCAGGAGGCTGAGGCAGGAGGATCTCCATGAGATTGAGGTCAGCCTGCGCTACATAGTTCAAGGCCAGTCTAAACTGCACAGTGAGACCCTGTCTAAAAAAAAAAAAAAAAGACCCATAGCACGATGTTCCCACTCGAATAATTGCCCTAGAAATTGTAGATAACTGTCTTAGAATTCTGCCTGCCATCCATGCTGTCATTTTATTTAGTGCCACTGGTGTTTTAACTCAGATCTCCCCATACAGAACTCAGGTTCAGAACTAAGTAGCCACATTGCTTTGGATCTGTCAAATGCTGTTGGACAGAGGCCCTCTGTCCTCTGGCGCAAGCTTTGAAAGTGGCGTTGTTGGTCAACTTAGGGTAGCAGGTGGAGAGGCCAGGCAGATGGTTGTAAGCAGTAGAGGTTGTATGCTTCTTTCTGTGTAAATCCACCAGTCTGGTAGGGCTGCATCCTTCCATCTGGCATAGCTGCGTCTGGAGTCCAGACACTGGCTAGTGGTGCTGATGCTGAAGAGGACACATTTAATATTTACTGAAACAGCCTGCTTGCAGCTCCGTCTCAGATTCTCAGGGGAAGCAACGCTGTTCCTTGGGTAGAAGTCATCATTTTGTGGGTTCTGGTACATCTTGGAGTCCGTTTACCTCCTGCAGTCTCTGCTTTGTGCCAGCCTGGGTTAGTTTGATGAAAGAGATTCCTGCATTTGGAGAGTAGGTTTTCTGTCCTCGCCTGTCTGCTCCTCTCTGCTGACGGAGGCAGACCATTCTGAGTTATAGTAGCAGCTCTTCAATGGGACCGGTAAGCTTGTCACACAAATACACGTGCAGCCTTGCTGTGTGCTGTGGCGGAATCCTTGTCTCTGCTTTTGTGTATCTGCCAGGCCCTGTGTTTCTTCCAACATCATCATTACTATACCATACTTTTCAGAACCCGTGGTAAAGCACAGGAGGAGGTTCGGGCATTACAACATGACGTGCTAATAGGGAAGCAGCGAGAGGAGGACCTCATGAAGTCCAAATTGCCCTGTTAGGGCACCTGAACCTCCGGAGTTTTGTTTTTTATTTGAAATAAAATCTTTTATGATAAGTGGTGAAAGTTACCTAATTACAGATCCAACTTAAACAAACCTGAAGTTGCAACATGAAGTCTGTGCTTTCTCGCTGTCAGTCCCACAACAAAAGACCGCGAGGCAGCCGGCCGTTTCGCCCTGGTCTTGCTGTTGGCAGGCGCCTAGATGGGGTCAGTGCTGGCAGTTAGTTCTGTGGTCACCAAGTAAAAGAGTGTGCTAAAGACGGGGAAAGAGGCGAGCAGGATGGGGTCCAGGAGGCTTCAAGCAGTTGATAAAAGGTAGATGGAAAGCTGAAGAGCCAGGGGGACAGAATTCCCAGTTTGGCCACACCTGAGGTGAGGGTGGGATTTCCAGAAAGGCGTGGAGCAGGGCAGGCTGAAGAACTGGGCTTCCTGGGCGCTGTCGCGGGCGGGAGGGTTCCCTTACGTTTCCGTAGCTGCTGTGTGGGAGACGCGTAGCTGTGCGGGAGGGCAGGGTTAGCCGGGCTGCGGTGCCGGGGAACGCACACGCGCAGGCTGTGCGTGCAGCTTGTGTGTCTTGTTCCTCATCGAGGCTCAGCGTGATCGGAGTCACTCACACTCAGAACTCCCTGTTCAGACAGCCTTGGACTGTTCTGTAGAAGTGACTCATGCTTAATAGGAATGTCGATGAGCAAGCTAGGCTTTCTGTACTTCTCTTGGCCGTGTCAAAGGAGCGTGTGAGTAGAACGGTTCGTCAGTGTTTGACATCTGTCAGAGGAATGGCCACGTCTCTTCCCTGCTCACACATATGGAAGCTGTCGTTTTGTCGAGGTCCCTGGTTATAAGATTGCTCTTGATTCCTTGTCATATGTGGCCTACGCTTGCCAGATAGTTCAAGCATAGGCCTTGGGTGAGCACTTTTTAAAACATCCTAGGTGCTCTGACAGTTGAGTGTCTTGAGTGCCCATCATACCTCACTCCTCTGGATTTCCTCCCTATTTCACACCCTCTACAGAGCCTGGCATCTAAAAATACTCAGATTGATTAATAGTTTCTACCGTATTGTGAGAAATGGTATAGTCAGACTGATGAAGTAGGTGGAGTTAGAGAAACCAGAGGCCAAGTTAGAGATGACACAGCCAGCTCAGGGACGGCACACCACCATGTCATGCGTCTGTTCTCTCGAGAGCCCTGACATCACGGCTGTCGTAGAACTGTCAGCTGCTGTTGGATACATTGGTGGCTATGGAGGGAGGAAGTGATGCTCCAAAGGAGAGGGCAGGGGCAGTTGCTTCTTTCTGTGCCATCTGGGAATGACAGGACATGCCGAAGCTCATAGTAGCCTTTGGGGAGGCGTGTTAGCGGAGACCACATATGTGGACATCGCATCTGGCTTCCTACCTGGAAGGATCCAACTTCCGTGTGACAGCCCCCTCAGGGTGTTTTAAGTGCGCAGCGTATTTGGTCCCTGGACCTTCCCACATGCTCCTTTCTCAGTCCTAAGCTCAGTTTTGACTAATCTGAAAATGATTGCAGGAAACCCGGGAAGGAAAAGAGCAAAAGTAATTAAATATCCACAAAATAAATATATGCTTTCCAGCTTAAATGTTAAAGTATTAAGAACAATATAGGCGATAGTGTTTCACAAGCATTTTTAAAGCACACAGTGTTTGTCAAAGAATCATAGCTCCATAAAGATGAAACGGCTACACCTGAGGTGAGGGTGGGATTTACAGAAAGGCATGGAGCAGGGCAGGCTGAAGAACTGGGCGTTCTGGGTGCTGGTCAAGGGCGGGAGGGCAAGCAGTGACCAGCAAGCAGTTAAAAGGTGAGATTATTTTTAAAAAGAGAAAGCTTTTGTTTGCCTGAATTTCCGCAGTGTT